ATCATTTTTACCCCAATTCATCGAAGTTACCCCGCTTTTCTTCCCTTCAATCCACTACTTGCTTGGTAGTGTACCAAACTCGGACCATGCAATGTCTTCTTGTCCTCATCCCTCATCATCCGCGCCTCGTTGACTCGTTTCTCTCTCTGTATCTGAATTAATCATTCTCATGAATGGAATGGATTTCCATCCAAATTCCAAGAACCTTGTGCATATTCCTGAGTATTTTTCTATGGCTAATGTGCCTACACGCATTTATAATTATTTTCTGGAAATTTCGACGGAGTCAGAAAGGTGTTGGTGGCGAGAGGCGTAACACCATTTTGGACATTGGCCACACCCACCGCCTCTAATTCGGCAACATTCCCTTGAACGCCTGTTTAACGTCATCCTAACCATTCCGAGGGGTCATGTCCCAGTCCAACTTCCTAGACGTGCGTATTCCCTTTTCAATATTTGGCTTCATCGAAAGTGAGGACACGTTAGCTGACTGCGACTCACCCCGTATGCATGTGTCATCGTTCACCTCGCCGTTTGGCCTCGCAAATCACTCAAACAACGTTTTTGGATGTGTTATCGTGCACTTTACTCGTCAACGCGTATCCTTGCGTGGATCTGCTGTTTGCGGCTCATGTGTTGTGCGATTGGGCGATGGTGGTTGGAGCAGCGAGCGATTGAGATTGTGCAAAAGGCTATAGAGGAGGATGTCAATCAGAACTACCCAGAGGCGTATAAGCAATATCAGAATGCTCTTGACTACTTTATGATGGCTCTCAAGTGTGCGTTTATCTAACCCTCGACTCTCCTTCCTCTTTGTTCCTCTTCCGGGCCGGTTTCTCCGTACCCTCCTTTCGAAACTGTTTCCTGTCTAGTTTCACTACCACGACACGCTCTTTGTATCCATTCTTTTGCTGACTGTGATTTGTGGGATCCAGATGAGAAGAACGATAAACTACGCGTGTTGATCCGGAAGAAGGTCGACGAGTACCTAGATAGAGCGGAAAAACTCAAGACACATATCGCAAAGGCAAATGACAAGCAAGCTGGCGCCGTTGGGAGCAATGGCAAAGTCTCTGCGAGTGGCGGCGGAAAGTATGTCACCGTCATCCAATATCTTTGACATCCTTGGCCGATTTCTAATCTAGTTTATGACAATCTTCCTAATTTCAGAGATGTTGACGGAGATGACCCAGAAGTCAAGAAACTCCGAGCTGGTTTATCAAGTTGGTACCGGCTCACTGCGGAATGAACCATGATACTAACATGCATCATTTAGGCGCCATCGTTCATGAAACACCAAACGTCAAATGGGACGATGTAGCTGGTCTTGAAGGTGCAAAGGAATCGCTCAAGGAGGCGGTCATTCTACCCATCAAATTCCCGCATCTATTTACTGGAAAGCGTACGCCATGGCGCGGAATTCTCATGTATGGTCCTCCAGGAACAGGAAAGAGTTATCTGGCCAAAGCAGTTGCAACTGAGGCCAAGAGCACTTTCTTTGCTGTCTCGTCTTCGGATCTAGTTAGCAAGTGGATGGGAGAGTCAGAGAGGTGAGCCTTTTTTTGATTCTTTGGCATGAGAACCTGAACCTTTTCTCTCATTTCAGATTGGTGAAGCAGTTGTTTACAATGGCGAGGGAACAAAAACCTGCCATCATCTTCATTGACGAAGTCGACTCTCTTTGCGGCACAAGAGGGGAAGGAGAGTCTGAGGCCTCGCGACGTATCAAAACCGAATTCCTTGTACAAATGAACGGTGTTGGAAATGACGACACCGGTGTGCTTGTGCTGGGCGCCACCAACATTCCATGGGCTCTTGACAATGCCATCAAACGGCGCTTCGAAAAGAGAATATACATTCCTCTCCCAGGTCCTGACGCTAGAAAGAAGATGTTTGAGCTAAATGTTGGTACTACTCCTTGCGAACTTGGCACAAAGGAGTATAAGTTCTTGGCAGATAAGACGAATGGGTTAGTCTAGATTCATTCTCTCACCCCCCAAGATTCATTTGCTAATTGAAACTCGTGGCACAGGTACTCTGGTTCAGACATAGCTGTCGTGGTTCGTGATGCACTGATGCAACCCGTACGAAAGGTGCTATCGGCCACCCATTTTAAGATCGTACCCGCCCCTCAATCCGAACATCAACAACAAATGGGTGGTCGATGGCCTAAATGGACACCGTGCTCACCAGGTGATAAAGAGGCCAAGGAGAAAAGCTGGTCAGATGTCGACAGCGACGAGCTCCTGGAACCTCCTCTCCGACTACCGGACTTTGTCCGTGCTATCTCACAGGTCAGGCCAACGGTAACTGAGGATGATATCAAGAAGCATGTTGAATGGACAAACGACTCGGGTGAGGCTGGTGCGTAAGCACGATCATGATCCTCAGGGGCTCGCAAAAAATTGCATGTCTTTCACGTTCTGGTCACGGATGGTCTACTGTTTCCTTTAATAAGCGTTTCCCTGTATATTTCATTGTTGACAACAAACTGTACGTCCTGCTACGGTTGCTCATCCTGCGATGACAAATAAAAACTCTTTTCAAAACTCAGTAGAGCCGTTGATGAGAAGACTGATTCCGCCTTAGGGTCTGGTCATGACTCATTGGATTTGGAGAGCTCAGGTGCGCTCAGACGAAGGCCAGATACTTATTGTTTGCAAACTTGTACAAATGGAAGGTCATCTTAAACATTTATGCTGAATACGAAGGATTCATTCGTCATCCCTAGGCTTTTCAACGCTATTCCTCGTCCTTACAACTTGAGGATTGCATGAATATAATACCCAAATCCTCTCGTTATCCCCCCCCCTCTCTCAT